CTTTTCATATACATTAGACACCTCAGCACGCAGTGTCGTGTTCTGAAAACGCAGTCATTATTAACCTTTCAATACTCCCACTTAGATTTGGATAACATAACTATTATATTGAAAAAAAGTTTTGATCTCACAATATAAATAATACTTATAGTTTGTATTAATGTTAAACTGCTAACTCAGAGTTGGCTGTACTATTTGGAAGAATTGTTATCTGTTTTATGTACGAAAGGACACGAGGTTTGATTCGAAATGAGCGATGCATCTTTAAAATTATGTAGAATTTTCTGTAAGATATATTTAGAATAAGATAATACAGCAAAAAGGAGACAATTGGTTTGCATTTTTTTTTAAACATTATTTCGATATTATCATTGAATCACTGAAATCCCTTATTGTTGCGACTGATGAGCTGGTTATTTCTCTTAGACGTGAATTTGCGTTCACTTGTCTCGCGTTGCACACGCTTTTTCGTATACTGATTATACACGGGGTTGAACATTTTACACGTACTTGCGACCGCGACAAATATTGAATCTTAAATACATGAAGTGAAATGCGCTTAAGGCGCGTCTTAGGTGCGAAGAGAGGAAGTAACGACATGGTCAACGCACACGTTAATTTACGACCGTGGACATTACTTCCTAGAAACTAACGTTTAAGCATTCCTTCCAAACCTTCCATAATAGTTACGTGCTTTTCAACAAATTATTTAAACAGTAAATTTAAATTTAAAAATAACGAGGTCGCGCAAAATAAAAATGGCTAGTATTTCGTTTGAAATCACGATCCGATTAACATGGATAGCTCTCATCTAACACGTTCGAGGCATCAGCATGTGTTTGGATAAAGCGCGATTGTTTGCGATTTATTTGCTTCATATGCCATCCACAGTGGCGTTCATCCGTAAATGTTTCGAATAAACGATCCATTTGCTCGCTGCGAAGTTTACTCCCACGTTTGATGCACGCTGCGCCACGTAATTGAAACGATCAATCAAACACCTGAGAAAAGGAGGGTGAGCTCACGCGTGCACAAACCGCAGGTTGTGTTCACGCAAAAGGGGAAGCGCGAACTTCGACTGCTGACAATTAAAGAATCGCATCCTTCGTGTCCCGTTAAAAATATTCTGTATCATGCACTGTGTATTTTAAAAGTATTAAACTTGAGAAAAGAAAAGAAAGACATTATAAATATTTTAATATTTCTCAATCTATATTTGCTAAAATCTATTTTCTCGTCTTTCTTCCTTTACATTGTGTTATAAGTTTTAATTATAATTTTTGAGCAAAATTTTAAATAGTATATATAAACAATAAATAAATAAAAATAAAGCTAGATGTAATTTTACGTATATTTTTGTCCGATACATCGGTAGTTTTGCGGCTACGACACCATTAATCATCGCATGAAAAACGTTTATTTCAGATGGTAGGATGGGACGCGAGAGACGCGAGGATTCTTTCGAAACTGCGCGATTAATTTTCAGTAAGCTTGGAGTATAACTGGCCGCTTTTGGTGTGTGTACAGATATAGCCACTCTCGCGAGATATTAGACAGGTGAGCGCGTTCCCAGGGGAACAAAGGCCCCATTACCCTGTCTTACCACCTCGACCCGGGCAGACATCCCGACAGACCCTCCGCTCTTGAAACATTCATATAAGAGCGTTGTAAGTGGTTTTTAATAAACGTATTTAATCATGAGTGTCGGATTACGAATTAAATCGGTGGGTGCTGTCACCAATCAAGGGGATTAGTCATGAATCTAAACAGATGTACAACCCGCTTTTTGCAGATATGCGGGTGTTTTGTCTTCCGATCTCTTGATATCGACGTGGCATCATTTTATTTTACAGCTTTATAGCTTTTTTAATAACAATTCCAAATAAAAAAAATTTTAATGATACAGTTTTTCTGATAATGTCGCTTATTTGTTACAACAACGACACAACTCAAAAGACAAAGTTTTGCAGAAAATAAATTTGAATATTTTTTTTTATTATAAAATTTTAATGATTCAAATATACAGGGTGTCCGGTAAGTTTTGACAAAGCACTCGTGTATAAATAAAGCGGACCAAACTGAATCGAAAAATCCTCTATCACTTTACAATTTTCGCAATTTTTTTTTAGTTACCTATAATGAGCAGAATATATAAAATTGATGCATAAAATAATTTTAAGATATCTTTAAGAGTTCCCTGAAAAATATTTTTAAGATATTTCATAACAAACTCTGAAAGAAATCTTAAAGTTGTTTATTTATTGATTTTATTTCCACTTATTCGTCAATCTTTAGAAATTAATATCTCGTTCATTATTACCAAAATTGCAAAACGGTAGAAGACTTTTCGACTTAATTTAGTCCG